AATATTTTTTTCCTTTAGGAATTATATTGTATGTACCGTCTAACTTAACTTACATATATGAAAAGTGTTATTAAATAAAGTAAGGAGCAAACAAATATATCTCTTGATCCATGATCCACTCTAAGTTACGTATGTTTTGTACGATGTTCGTTGCTGGGTTACTAAGGGAATTGTGATAAATTACTAAGACAAAAATTGCTTCATATTACGAGGGAGAGGCAGTAAATAGGCCACAAATGGATATGAAACGTAAAACATGTGATACTCGGACCTGGGGAAAAACGTTTACTTCTCGACAAATCCTCCACCAACACCGATGCACCTGTCCCATCGCTTTACCAGTACGTCGAAACCCGCAGCATAGAAGTATTTTGTCTGTTGTCTCGGCCACTTCCTCACCTCAGTTTCAACCTATCTATGCATCAACGAAACGTTTTCCTCCCAGCTGTGAACAGCTTTAAGTGACAGACACTTCCTACCGTAAACAGGAAACGTTTCTTTGTGAATATCCATTGCATTGAGTCCTTTTACACACAGAAGAACGCACAATATAACTCTGCTCTTCGGTATTACACTCGTTAAGCACTATAGCCATTTTGACTACTGAAACCAGCCTCTGAACATGCGCGTGTGCATCTGCTAGCTAAACTGTCATGAAGCTGGACTGTGCTGCTACCTAGTGATACAAATAGAAACCCTATTACATCTGTTTACTTCCATTTGTGGCCTGTTTACCGACCCGCCCACCTACACTGAAAACTTCTCCATGGTGGGAAGCGAGAACACTACGAAGCCCACGTTATAGCTATGCGTTAATTACGACGGGGAGTGGATATTATAATTATGATAATATACAAGACAGCCGCATCTCATCCCTTCGAGCCCCGAACTTAATTATGGATCATATTACTAGCTCGATAAGAAGAGGTAATTTACTGAGACAAAGATTACAATTAGCCTACATGTTATCTGCTGCTTGTCCCTACATCGTGGCGAGGTATACTTCAGCTGGGGTCGGACAGAGGGCTATGGCCGGTGGCGTTTGCTGGTCACTTCATAGGATTATTAGTGTCTTATAAAACAGTAAGTTTTTCTCCGTGTGTAACTAATTAAGCACTACGCCATGAAGGCGTATGGGGGCTGAATGTGTAGATCCACGTTGTCCTGACCTCGATACTAGTTGGAAGTGAGTGGTTAGCTTCATGCCCCGGCCACTTTACCTAAGTGGAAAATGCTCCTCTTTATCCAATACGTAGGCTGGGTGTGCCCCAGAACCGGTCTGGAAGTCGTGGAGAGAAGAGAATTCTTAACCCTACCGGGACGCGACACCTTGGTCGTCCAGCCCGTAGCCAGCTGCAGTATCGACTGAGCTATCCCGTCTATAACAGGGAATTCAGAACAGAAACTCATGAAGCCTACTTTCTAGTTGCACCGATCTCTAGTTGTACGGAAATGTTATTGTGAATAATACTGTTTGATTTTATTCTTGCAAAAAATCATTACTTAAGCCTTTAAAGCCCAGTGGTTGCTATATGTACCATATATCTTAACGCACTAAAACTCTGCATTCTACACATGCAGTGTATATGTGTCTTTCTTATGGTTCTCACAGTAAAGAGCAATTATGTATTTCCCTAAATGGCATTAACCGGTTGGGCTTTTAGCGATGTGACGTGTTTCCTATGAGGTACGACTGGATTCTTATGTATTATTTGGATGAAATTCAGTCTCTAACTGATCATATCTATGATAATTTGTAGGTTATAGACGCAGAAGTTCATAATTTCACCATGTTTGTAACTGTTGATTAACAGACAATACTGGTATTGTGCACTCTAGATTTTTCAACTGACCTACGTCTTCCAGTCGACTCAGCCTCTAACAGAAATGAGTACCAGGAATCTTCCTGGGGGTAAAGGGCGGCTGGAATGTAAGGCCGACAACGTCACCACCATCTTCGAGTTGTCTAGAAAATGTGGGAACCTCGTCGTCTCACAAACCTATGGGCCTCCATGGCTAGTTACAGGGATGGCTTCAACTTTTTTACTATCACCTGGCGTTCTAGATAACACACACACACAAAACACGACGTTTCTGAAACTGGATCTGTTTTCGTCCTCATATGAGAGGGGAGGCACCTGCACTATTGGGTCCGTTGGAACTAACTTCCAATCACCAACACCCAACAGTGTAGGTGTTTCCCACACCTCACCTGAAGACGGAAACAGACCCAGTTTCCGAAACATTGTAATTTTTTGTGTGTTTCCTAGAATACCGTACGATGAACATATTCCAAAAATCCAGTAATCCCGAGTGTCATACACCATCGTCAGATCCCATTAGATCCATCGTATTTATACGTTTCACGCGATTCTCGACTTTGACAGTGTTTGTTTCCCTGAACTGTATAATAGGACTGGCGCGCCTTTGTAACAGAAGGAACTGCTCTTTGAAACATTATTCGGACTGATTTCAGGCCCAAAACTGACAGTCCATTCAATGTATGTATGTTACTTCTATCGAAGAAATGAGATCGCTTTGTTACATAAATCAGCTCTGCATTGCACTTTGAAATGCGCATGCAGGACCACGCGGGAAGAAACAAGAAACATCATGAAGAGTACTTACCTTCTGATATGTGATGCCGTATAGCCTGGCGGATTGCAGGATTTAGGGTTTTTACTGCCAACGGCGTCTGGGTCACCGTTTTATGGGACCTGAAATCAATAGAAATAAACTATCTTCCATAAGTAGAACAACAAGTTCTGGGAAGAACTAATCGTCTTCTTTCCTTTGACACGACACGGACCGCATAGAAAACAACGCCTGCAATAATTTTCATTGCCGCGGGAACGTCTTTATCAATTTATTACCTACGAACGATAGACGCACACACAGACAAACCCATACACGCATTCAAGTGTTCTTTTGTTGTTTCGTGTATTCGTTGCTGCGGGGATATGTTTATCGAGCCGTTGCCTAGCAACGATAGGAGAGATGCACGTAAAGACACGGGCTGATGGTAGGAATCTATCAAGTACGCCGTTGAAATGAGCTCAGGTGCCATGATACCAAATTCCATAAAGAATGGTTCAGGCATTCAGAAGTTAAAATGGGCGGAGATCACAAATATACAGACACACAGACAGCATGGAGCTCGCATAAGCCTACTTTCGTTTATTTTTTCAAAATAAGCCAGGGCAGTGCACCTACTTTCTGATATACGATTGACTGTGACTGCATCATCTTGCAAGCGAAACGGATTGTTGTTGGTTGCTGAATACTAAGACATCCGACATCCGGATTAGCGAGGGCTTACTGCACTATCTGCTGGGTTGCAACGCCGTACGCTCCATCAGAGTGCACTTCTGCATGACGTCACGTCCCAGAAGTTTGCCACAGCCATGAGAAGCTCACATTAATTCTATGGTGTCTGATAGGCCGTTACCAGTGTTTCGGAGAAATCCCTTGCCTCCATCTTCAGGGCAACAGGCTGCACGTTCTTCGAGTATGCTGGTATACGTGACAACATGACATTAAAGTCCAGTACAGAGTTTCGTGATTATCTGCATTGAAATGCAATTGGAACAAGTTGTCCCCCTGCGTATTTCAGCTCCACTACATGAAGATGTACGGGGGAGCAGAGATATACCTCCACTCATTTTAACGTCTGCACTAGATGAAAGTGCCCAGATTCATATTGCTTTACCCTCAAGAAAATGGCCCCCCGTACCCATTAGATAATGACTCGGTGGGCCCCACAGACGACCCGGACCATGTGGAGAAGAGCAGAGAAACTATCTTGACGGATATCGAACCCGATTCCTCAGTCGTTCAGTCCGTGGCCTATTCCCCGTGCTGATCGACATTTTACCCGGAATTTATCAGAGTATAGGTAAAGTTGGCAGGTCACGGTAACCGAGCGGTCTAAGGCATGTACTGTCTTCACTCGCTTGGAAACCTGGATCGTGGGTTCGAATCCCACTCAGGGCATCGATGTTTAGTTTGTGTATGTGCGTTTTTCTGTGTATACAGGTAGAGGCCTTGAGACGAGCTGATCACCCGCCCAAGGAGTCCTACCGAATGTGTAAGATCTAGAAAAACCGAAGTGAACGGAGAAGTTCATGGAGGTAGGCCTAGGCCCACTGGGGCTGTAGTGCCAAGAAAAAAAAAGGTAAAGTTGTCCCTGTGCTTAACTAGTTAAGCACTTCGCCATGAAGGCGTGTGGTGGAGTGTATGTATAGAGCCACATTTTCTTGACCTCGGAACTAGCTGGAGGTAAGTTCTCAGCTTCACGCCCCGGCCACTCTAACCCGGGGAACAACCCCCGGTTCCCACTGAATAGGAGGTTGGCTGGACCCCAGAGCCGGTCTGGACGACGTGTAGCAGAGAAAATTATTGACGCTACCGGGACTCGAACTCCGGCCCTGGACGTCCAGCCCGTGTCCAGTCGCTGTACAGCCTACGCTAGAGTGGAGCTGAAAATTATAATCGCTATTATATTTAAGCATCCTGTTGCACTCCATACGATAAATGATATAAACTCCGTCTCAAGTGCAAACAATATATTTTGCATATATTGTTTGCACTTGAGACGGAGTTTATATCATTTATTATAATCGCTGTATATTCGCGTTTATTTGGAGTAACAGCTTTGGCCATTGTGAGCCTAGGCGGAAAAGGAGGCGAAATGTTGCAGAAACGAAGACAACGGCGGAACGCGAAGGGTGAGGGAGAGGATACGAAAGAAGACCACACGCATGAAGTACCAGCTGGTCGTGGATTGGTCGGTAGTTTGGCCGCCAATCTCTGTGGCCTGTCCCATTCATAAATAGCCGCTCGCACGAGACACATCAGGAGGGGGAAGGGAACATGTAAAGAAATGTTCAAGAAAGAAGAATGATGAAGAAGGAAGAAGAGAGAGAGAGAGTTGGTTTCGCAAGGCACTGGAACGGAGAGAGAGACCTGCTCAGACAAGTCGGCTCTCCTCCAGCACGCAGTGGCCAGAAGTGGCTGGAGCGAGTCGGTGGCAGCAGGTGCGTGTGTGTGTGATGCACAGTGTGGTGGGTACGGTGTAGTAGCATGGAGCTAGGGTCCTGTTGTGTTCTCAGGCCTAACCCGACGGCGAACTTGGATGATGATCAAATAGTTCCGGATCATCCTGGTGATTGTTCAAGTGGTGGATGGTCTTCATCAGGACAAAACTTGGTAGACACTTGGATACAAATGCAGGTATGGCCACAACCTGTTGTTTACTCTGATGCTAGGCGCATGCTCCAACTTATATAACCGTGTTTGCTGCGCAGCGCAAATTGCGCGCGTTTTATGATTACATCTCCCAGTCGGTTTGGTTTCAAATGCCCACGTCTCGTGAGGCTGTAAATCAAGCAGTTGTTAACTGAACAGACATTTTTTAACCATATTCACATACAAAACACAACAGACATTAAAGTTTTTAACCACATTCGCCTACGAAACACAACAGAGATTAAAGTTGTTTTTTTTTTAACCATATTCACTTACGAATCACAACAGAGATTAAAGTTTTTACAGTTAAGATCTTGCTTGGTTAATTCTTTTTTTTTTCTAAAGATTGCTGGATTACGTTACTCCGAAACGTCAGTAAGCTTCTGTGTAACATGTCAGAAGATGAGTACTCTTCTAACCGACAGACTGTTCTGTTTAAGCACAGCACACTTCGGTGGGTGTTTAATATTGCGAGGGTTAGAACTCTGTAGATGGAAATAGCATATTCCTTCGAACACTGGTACCCACATACCAGTCTACACTGTGTCATAAATACCGCAGTATGCATTTTTACAGCCGCGGAAATTTGAATCTGATTATGTTAATGCTACAGACTAGCTGTGGACAATTCAGAGCAAGCAGGAGGAAGGCGAAAAGGTACAGCTAGAGTTTTCATACTTGGTACTCGTCATTAAGGACATGCAACGAAGGAGGGTATGTAGTACGCAAACAACAAACGCATACAGTAATCTGCGATATCTTGAAGAAAGAGACCACTCGGAAGACCAAGACGTAGCTGTGAGGGGCAGTAATATGGATATAAACAAGACAGCAAATACGGCATTTGCCTATCGCATGGCGTCGACTTTTATGGGACGTGATGTTTCTCCGAAAAATAGTTTAAATACCCACCAGACTGCACGGCTGCACATCCAAGACGACAGTAATCTTACACGTTCTGAAACGTTCGCGAAACGTGACAGATTCATAAAATATATCAATTTTTATCATATAATTGAGGATAAACGTAATATATAAATGTAATATAATAATTTACTGTTTTTATTCATAGACACCAGACGATGGTCAGATGAAACCAAAACATGTAGTGTGATTGATACAGTAAACTGACAGACTTGTTTTCACTCGATTTCAATCATTTTGTTACGCAGTAAATAACGACGTTGTATGACGGTAAATAAAAGCTCCGTCACGTAGGAAGATGCACCACGTAAAGATAACGGGTATTGTCGAGTTCCCCAGATTTGTTGTAATCATGTCGAGAATCATAATATTTGCGGAAAAGTTGGCCTGGATGTGAAAGATTCATCCCTCTCTGCAGCATTTGTTGGTATCATTTTTCGGTCTGATACGAGTAAATGTTGACCGAGTTACGACTGAGATGCGCGCTGAAATGCGTGTGCGAGTCTTCACGTAAAGTGGCCGGCATTGTTAGATTTTAAAGCTGTCAGCAAATATGAGCGTAAACCTTAAAGATCAAATTTCATTAAAATCGGTTACAACTTTCTCAGGGTTGTTAAATGTAAACACGCACACTATAGAGGTCAGAGAAGCATATTTTGTTCTGCAACTTCTTGTTGGCTAGGATGATGAGGTGGGCAGGGCATGCAGCACGAAGAAGGGGGAAGAGGAATGCATATAGGATATTGGTGGGAAAGCAAGAAGGAAAGAGACCAGTGGGCAGATCAAGGCGTAGGTGGGTGAACAATATTAAAATGGATCTTAGATAGATACGATGGGATGGTATGGATTGAATTGAATTGATCTTGTCCAGGATAGGGACCAATGGAGGGCTCTTGTGAACACGGTAATGAACCTTCGGGTTCCATAAAATGCTGGGAAATTCTTGAGTAGCTGCAGATTTTGCGGCTCCTCAAGAAGGACTCAGCTCCATACGTAAGTACTACTTTTTGGCGAACGCACCAAAGAATTATGTTGCGTGGAATTTGCGTCTAGCCCAGGATGCGGGCAGGTGGCCTGTTCTTCTGAGTACGGTAAAGATCATTCGGGTTCCATAAAAGACGGGAAATTTGTTGACCAGCCGAGCTTCCCAGGACCGATTCTGCACCAAGGAATTTGTGATCTGCCTTTTCGTCTTTTGTAATTTACTTAGGGGCGTTAATAGCTGCTCCATATCTCAAGCGGTTAGTCGCTGGCTTCTCACCGCAGCAGCCCGGGTTCGATCCCGGGTCTGGTCAAGTGGGATTTGTGGTGGACAAAGTTGCGTTGGGGTGGGTTTTCTCCGGGCACTTCGGTTTCCCCTGCCAATCTTCATTCCACCAAATTCTCCATCATCATAATCACCCGGGGCAGGTACAATAGGCCAATCAGTGGCCGCCGTACCGAGTGGACCCAGTTGGAATCCCTCACCACTAAACGAATTAGGAGCATTAATAGGCAGCTGAGCAGCACAGGTTTTCTGTGTATTTAACCCCAGACTTTAAACCAGCAAACATAAGCACCCCATTCTTTTTACAGGAATCCGTGACGGATGGTATGGTTACTATTTCTACCATGGACTCTGACATTAAGATGTTATGTTTTTTGGTACAGTTCATTTATGTATTTCATATCATGCTGAAAATAAACAGCGATTATTTATAAAAGTTTGTGACGATGATATTAATACAGTTGTTATATTTCGGGACACCCACCGTCCTCTCTTTACTTAAAGCAATATTTCGGAGGTTGGATTCTGTCTCCGAAATGTTGTGTGTTTTAAATCAAAACATGAGAATGGATAATGTTCAGAAACACAGTAGTTGTATTAATATAACATCGCCACAAACTTTTAGATCTTATTATCTTACCAGTATGGACGTGGTATATACCCGAAGTTTGGAAATTTGAGTGTATTACGATACAACTTGCTAAGACTTCCAGTCATCTGGTGTTTCTTACGTCCGGAGATAGGGAGTAGCTCTGTTGATTGAACCCAAATGAGTAGGCTCCACCTGATGACGGAGACAGAATCCGATCTCCGAAACGCCGTGTTCTTTAAATAATAACAAGGACGATGGATAACGTCCAAAAATAGCGATTATTTATCTAAAAACGGGAATGAGGCGAAGTGAATTTCTGTGCTACACAAGCTGAATTTTTAAGTACAGTAAACGCTAAATTTAACCGATTTCGGATTTCACGACCAAAGTTCTTCTGTACTTCCCCGTTATTCTTCGGTTGATATGTTGTGTTATTTCGTCAGTCGCGCTGCAAGCATGGCGCGTCTCTAGGAAATGCGTCGTTCTGTCGCAAATTAAATTTTGTGTTGTACTGTGTATGGTTTGTTCTCTTACAAATGTATTTTCTTAATTACTACACATTGGACAGAAGCGAGGAGAAAGGTGCGTGTAAACAAAAGTTTATAAGTGACTGAAAAATTATAATCGGGAGTGTATGTCACGTGTTTGTGAGAATACGGACGTTGCGATTTAACGGACATCCATTATGCTGTAATTCGTAAAGAGATATCAGGCTTCACAGAGTTAAATCTCAGTTTCTGTACGTACCGCCTCGTTTAATATACAGGAACTCAAATCTCAGTTGTTTCTTTATGTGCCACTTCGATTAATTTTCAGGAACTCAAATCTCAGTTGTTTCTATATGCGCCACCTCTTTGAGTATTCAGGAACTCAAATCTCGTTTGTTTCTATATGTGCCACCTCTTTCAGTATTAAGGAACTCAAATCTCAGTTGTTTTTATATGTGCCACCTCTTTCAGTATTAAGGAACTCAAATCTCAGTTGTTTTTATATGTGCCACCACGTTTAATATTCAGGAACTCAAATGTCAGTTGTTTCTATATGTACCACCTCTTTCAGTATTCAGAAACTCAAATCTCGGTTGTTCTATATGTGCCACGTTTAATATTCAGCAACTCAAATGTCAGTTGTTTCTTTATGTAACACCTCTTTCAGTATTCAGGAACTCAAATCTCGGTTGTTCTATATGTGCCACCACGTTTAATATTCAGGAACTCAAATGCCAGTTGTTTCTTTGTGTAACACCTCTTTCAGTATTCAGGAACTCAAATCTCGGTTGTTCTATATGTGCCACCACGTTTAATATTCAGGAACTCAAATGCCAGTTGTTTCTTTGTGTAACACCTCTTTCAGTATTCAGGAACTCAAATCTCGGTTGTTTCTACGTTTATGTACCACCTCTTTCAGTATTCAGGAACTCAAATCTCTGTTGTTTCTATATGTACCACCTCTTTCAGTATTCAGGAACTCAAATCTCGGTTGTTTCTATATGTACCATCTCTTTCAGTATTCAGGAACTCAAATCTCGGTTGTTTGTATATGTACCACCACGTTTAATATTCAGGAACTCAGCGTCTTGCCCACACACACGGTATTTAAATATGTGTAATGTATTCCACGGAATAAACAGCAATTATTTCTCCATATGGTAGTTAACGGTTTGTCTTTGTAATGGAAATTCACCGAGCCTTCTGTGCCGTAAGAACTGAATTTTTATATATCGGTAAGATCTGCTTCATTATTCAAATGCTTTACTCACAGTTGTTTTTGCAGTCAGCAGACAGGTTGTATTTGTGTGAACAATTCTGTATTCTGAGATATAAAGCCTTGTAGTCCGTTGAAAGGCAACCAACGTTTCGGAGGTACACGTCGCCTTCATCTTCAGGCTCGAAGGATAAGCCGAGCAACAAACTAGCGTGAAAGCAGACTACACGGTGTTACATCTCAGAAGACAACTTTTCATGACGCCGCTGTGAAAACGGCAAATCCTACATGTGGTTACGTGTTCCGCGTGATACCCAAAACAACGGCGAATATTTCTCTACACATTAATGGAATGGAGGGACACGCGGTGGCGTAGTTGGTTGAAACACTATACTACAAGCCGGAAGGTCGCAGGTTCGATTCTCGATGAGGTCATTGGATTTTTAGTTGACCTAATCCTTCCAGCTCCACTATGGTCCTGGGGTCAACTCGGCTTCT